CTCACCAGGTGTTGCTTTTAGCTGCGAGAAAATTCCTCCCTCTTGCTGTTTTGCTCTTAAGGATTGCTTTCCTGGGCTAAACATCCTTTGCTTTAAATAGACAGGCTGACCCAAATACTTCTGTGAATGATTATACAAGGATGAAGARGAGACTGTTGTCCAAAGATTTTTACAAGACAACTTAAATCAATACAATCTTTCTGATTAGCTGCTCCTAGAAAACCTGTGTGCTATATTCATTACTTGGCTCACTTTTGCTTTTATTTGTTTTTGTGGTACATTACCAGGAACCTGAAATATTTACTCTCTTGTTCTCTGGGCTGCACTGATTTCCTTGGAATTAAATGTAGCCTAGAAATTCTCTGCTGTGGATTTTTGTAACAAATATTTTACKGTAAGCCACTTGTTACTAATGAGCCTAATATCACTTGTACAACTCTTTTTATAATCTTTACTCTTAAAAAATAATGGGCAAAAATTAAAATAATTATTCAATTGTTTATTAACAGATATATTAAACTGAACAGGGCATTGAAACTTGGGCCATTATTCAATTCTGTATAGGAAAAAAACCCTGCAYGTGTGGAAGCCAACATTTTTCACAGCACACATCTGAACGCTCTTTTTTATTTCAGACTGCCTACTGTAGCAGAGCAATCACTCCAACAGAAAATATCCTGGAAGCCTGAAATCTAAATCTAATTCAAAGTCTAAATGATGCACATGATTAAAAATGTATTATCTATTCCCAACAAATCAGCATCATTGAAACACTAATATTTCCCTAATTTTAAGCACCATCTAGTGAGTCGAACATTAGAGCTGATCTTCCAAATTACACCCGAGGAAAATAAGATCATGGTTTGACTGCATCCCACTYAGTGCTGGTGTCGTGCTGAGATTTGTAAGTTAGCTGTTTAGTCACTGTCTGTTCTCTTACTAATGGACATTAAATATTCCTCCAAAGGTGCTGGAGACCTGAGCTGCTGCATGAACATAATTTGTTTGTTGACAAAGGAGGGTCTTGGCTAAGCAGGCTCCCTAGTTAGATGAGGCTAACTGCCTGGAAGTGGAGCAGGGAAAAGCCTCATTTTGATAATGATAATTTTTTTTTTATCACTCCAGAGCAAGGGACTGGAAAGGATGTGGGTTTATTTCAATTATAAGCCAAAGMAAAAAAAATCTCCAGGCGAATAAAGAGCTTTATAAGGATCATGATTCTTACTACTTCTATTAGCTGGCTTGCCATGGAGATGAAGTAGGTCTGAGAGGGAACAGCACAGCAAATSTGCACACAAATATAGGACCTGCTTAGCTGGCCCCAGTGTTAAATCAGTTCAGTTAAATCAGCACCAGCAACTGATCTGCATGAAAGACTGCCCAGGGATGGATTCATTTGGAGAGCAAGTGATGGAGAGCAAGTTGGTTTAAAAGGGAGACTGAGCCTGGTTTGGCCTCTCTGGAATTGCAGAGCTTGTGCTTGGAGCAGGGCTGGTCCTCTACAGGTGCTGGTGCAAGACTGGGCAGTGCCTGGCCTTGCTGAGAGAGGAAAAGGCACATTGATGGGAGTGCAGCTCT